AAAAAAAACAAAAAAAATGTTTAAATAAAAATCACTGTGAATTAAATATTGTTGAAAAGCAGGACATATGTAACAGTGAATATAGGTCCATATTTCAGATCAGCCTGGGCTACAGAGTGAACTCAAGGCCAACCTGAACTGTGTAGTGAGACCCTGTAAAAAAAAAAAAAAAAAAAAATTACTGATACAAAGTTTTTAAGCCGGTTGCTATGGCACAGGCCTATAATCCTAGCACCCAAGAGGCTGATACAGAAGAACTGGTGCAAGTTTGAGGCCAACCTGCACTCTACATAGTGAGACCCTGTTTCAAATAAACAAAATACTATAAAAGTTATGTGACCGTATAGTCTTTACATAAATTTATGTCTTATTTTAATATTGTCTAAGAATATGTTTTAACTTCTGTTTTAGTGGAATATTGGTGAACAATACTAAATTAGATGGACCTTTATTGCAAATTCTGTTTATGAACAATATTATTTCAAAGTAAGTAACATTTTTTCCTTTCCTAAATACAATGAATTAACATGTTTATGAAACAGTGTTTTCATTTGTACTGACATCATCTTTAAAGTTTATGAAATCGTTTTAAGAGCAAGGATATAGGAGTCACACAGATGTGAATTTGGGTCTGGACTTCTGTTTTCTACATCTGTGAACCTGAACAGGTCATAGAGCTTTTCTGTGTCATTAGCCTTCCTCTGGAGAGAAGTATACCAATAGTAACTACTGCCAGGTGGTTAAATGAGTGCGCGTAAGAGCCCAGTAAATTACTTGTAGTAAAAATAACCGTAGCAAGAATAGTGGTAGCCATTTCTCTCCCGGAATTGGGTAACAGAGCCCTTCTGTATTGGCTATCTTCAAAACATAACTGCATGAGGAGGTTTTTTTTATTAACAAAACTGTACCTTTACAAGGCTTGCAACGTGCCTGAGCTCAGTGGCATGGTGCCTTCCTGCAGGCTTGCGAGAGCGTTGTAGGTGGTTTGAGGCCTTGCTCTGTCACCCCTTTAGAATGTGGTCGTAGACATTTCAGACAGTCACTTGCCCCCCTGAGCCACTGAGTCCTACTGTTATTTCATATCCTGGCCACGGCAGAGGAGATGAACGGACGGGGAGCCAGGTTCATAACCCACTTTATCGCCACAGAAGTAGAACCTGGACTCTTAGGGTGTGGGAGCTGGGTGGTGACTGCAGTTGCAGCAAGGTGCTGGGCACAGCTGGCCTTTGGCACTGTTGTCCCCGCTAGCTGAGAAATGATGCCTACTCTAGCTCTGGAGAATGTACTGATTTCTGCATCATTCACTTGCCATTTTGCCTGCAAAAGACTTAGAATGTTAGTGTTAGAGGCCTGGAAGAGCTGGGCGTGGTGGTGCACACCTGTAAGCCCAGCACTCAGGAGGCTGAGGCAAGAGGATTGCTGTGAATTCAAGGCCAGCCTGGACTACAAAGCAAGACCCTATCTCAAAAAAAAAAAAAAAAAAAAGGAGGGCTGGGGATATAGCTCAGTGGCACAAGCACCTGGCTGGCAAGTACAAGGTCCTGAGTTTGATTCCCCATACCAAAAAAAAAGGTAAAGAAAAGGCCTGGCCGAGCATCAGGTGAGAAGGAAGCAGAGCCTGAGGCGTCCTGGCTCCCATCTGCGGGGTCACAGACTGGGCTCCTTGCACATCGCCTGAAGGGAACATTGCAGATCACGTGAGCTGTGTGGTTTTTGACCTGGAGGCCTAGAGAAGGTAGAGCTTGTATTTTTCTTCTACCTGTGTTGCATTTTGGTTTTCATTTCTCTTTCAGTTGCATACTAGATAAATGTTTGCTTGCATGTACAGGAGGAGTCTGGGAGGAGGCTATGGAAGAATGGAATGCATTTCCTCTGTGCTGCAGAGATAGGTGACATAGGCGACAGGGAGATAGATGGGAGGAAGCTCTGTATTGTGCAGCCTTTTTGCTTCTTTTGGATTTTGACCCATTTACACGTAATATTCATTCAGAAGTTAAGTGTGTAGCATTTATAAAGAAAATGTGTTTATCTGCACAGCTACTCGGCAACTTTTCAGTGCCAGGCTCAGTATTCGGTTATTGTAATCATTTCGTTAACTTCACAACAATTATTGTTTCCTAAGTAATAGGTTCCTGAGTGTTACAGAGAGTCAGTTTGATAAACCTGAAAAACAATAAAATTAAGACATGACATTTTATAATACTGCATAAGATTTTAATCTATGAAATGTCTTACTCTGTCTGGGATCATTTTGTCCTCTTATACAGGCAATACCATCAAGAAATAGAGGAGTTTGTATCAAATTTAGTAAAAAGATTTGAGGAACAGCAGAAAAACGATGTGGAAAAGACGTCCTTTAATCTTTTGCCCCAGGTATTTCACATTTAAGAGACTTTAAGATGAGTAGATTATGCTTTTTTGCCACCAATTATTAGGCTGTAGGGATAGTCTTTTGTTTTTGTTTTTGTTTTTTTGAAACACGATCTCACTGTATAGTTCAGGCTGTGCCTGAACTCACTATGTAGCCCAGGCTGGTCTCGAACTGGTGGCAGTCTTCCTGCCTCAGCCTTCTGAGTGCTGAGGTTACAGGCCTGTGCCACCACACCTAGCGGTTGGTTTTGAATCAAAGCCAAAATGATTGTCAAGGTTCCTACTCACCTCCCTGCCTGCTCCCTTCTCCAAAGCCTGCCCGTGGCCACCCTGGCCTCCTTGAGGATGCAGCTCATCCTCACCTGGCTGTTTTTCCTCAGTGGACACCTGGTTTGGGGCAGAGAAGTTAACTCAGGCCAGTCAAGAAATTCTGTATACCAGAGGTTTATAAAAGATGGATTATTTTAAAAATAGAAAACCAACAGAATAAAATTATGTGCCATCCCTTTTTTCCTTGCCTTGTTTTTAAAAAAACGGATAGCATATCTAAAGAAATCTGTCAGATTTCACTACGTGGATAGTAGAGCATGAATTTACAGATATATAAATCAGGATTGTGATTTCTGGGCCTTTTTAAAATTAAAACTTAAGGTAAAAAGAGTTTTCAATAAGGATTTCTTTTTTATTTGGTTTTTCTGAGACAGAATCTCCTTGTATCGCTCAGGCTGGTCTCAAACTAGTGATCCTTTTGCCTCGTCCTCCCAGATGCTAAGATTATTGGTGTGTGCCATCCGGGCAGTTCTCAGACATGGATTTTTCATTGTTGTCCTCAAGGGTTTGAGACAAAGTGCTCTGATTAATTGAAATTTTTTAGTCATCTTTAGTTTTTACACGTCACATATAGTTTTCAAAAATTCAGGAAATGAAATACTTGCTGGAATTGCTGCTAGGATTACAAATTTGAGACCAGCCTGGGCAACTTATTAAGACCCTAAGACCCTGTCTCAAAGCAATCTTTTTTTTTTTTTTGGTGGTGGTGGTGTACTGGAGATTGAACCAGAACCTTTGCACTGAGCTTCGTTTTATTTTTTATTTTGAGATAGGATCTTGGCTAAGTTGCTAAATTGTCCAGGCTGGGCTCGAATTTACTATCCTCCTGCTTCAGTCTCCCAGAGTGCTGGAATTACAGGCGTACATTACCACACTGGCCTCAAGGAAAATTTGAGTTTTGATTTTGGTATTGGAGATTAAACCTGTAACCTTTGCTCATGGTTTATCAGAGCTGTTTTATTGGTACTAACCAGTGATACTGAATTAGGAATTTTTTAAAATCTTTCTGGTTATATATTTTGAAGATAAAGTCTACCTTGCCAGTGTAAACATTGAAAGTTTCATAATCAACACTGATTAACACAAAAGTCTTTTTTTTTTTTTTTTTTTTTTTTGAAACAGGGTGTCACTATGCAGTTCAGGCTGGTCTTGAACTCATTTTGTAGCCAGGCTGGCCTTGAACTCACAATAATCCTCCTGCCTCCGCCTCCCGAGTGCTGGGATTACAGGTGTGCGCCACCACACCCGGTTTAACATAAAAGTCATAACCACATGCTAATGCTTCAGAAGAAGCTACCTTTTATTTTTATTATTTTTTTTATTTGGTACCGGGAATCGAACTCAGGACCTTAACACTTGCCAGGCAGGTGCTTGTGCCGCTGAGCTATCTCCCCGGCCCAGAAGAAGATACCTGTTGATACTGTTGCAGTTGCCTACTTTTGAAAATTCTTTCACTAACATCCCTATCTGAACTTCTTAACTTGCCCCAATTGTGACAAGACTGTGTACTTGAATGGTGTATATCAGAAAATAAAAGGAGTTGTTTGTAACGTACGTTTCTCTATCTTCTCTTTGTAATGAATATCTCTCTCTGTCTTAGCCATCCAGTATCGTGTTAGAAGAGGACCATAAAGTAGAAGAATCCTGTACCATAACAAATAGCAAGGAAGCTTTTAGTGTAAGTTTGGACATTTTATTTTTGAACTCTACAGATGCATGATTCCTATTCTTTATCGGTTGGGTGGCATTTAAATGATAAAGTGGCATAGTCATGAGTTTTCATACGATCCCAGCATTCTTTGGGAACAATCGTGTAGACTCCAGCCTCTAAATATTGTTCCTTTTTTAGTAACTGTTGGGGGTGAGGTAGGAGTACTCTAGACATTCTTTGGGAGAGCTTATTTTTGTCCTAACCACATCTTCGTGTTTGTCTTCAAGAACTCAGATAAAAGTATAGAAAGCATACTTGCCGAACTCGTGGATAGATGAAACAGAGAGAGCCACTGTATCAGGTGGCGAGTTTGACATTTAAGGTATTGACCTACTCAGCCAGTGAGTAAAAAGCGGGGGCTTAACAGGCACGAGATACATTTAGGCCTTTCAGGACCACATAGGCCAGTGTGAATACAATGTATAATTCTGTGGCTTATGATATTTTCACTAGGGCAGTGTAGTCCTGAATTCCATTAAAGGAGGACTAGCTTTCAAGTTTTGGGGGTTGTTATTCACTGTCAGTGCACCTCAGATTTAAAGACATGGGACTATAGAGATTGTGAGCAGCCACAAACTTTTTTGAAAACATTTGTAGGGCCGGGCATGGTGGCGCACGCCTGTAATCCCAGCACTCAGGAGGCTGAGGCAGGAGGATTGCTGTGAGTTTGAGGCCAGCCTGAACTGCATAGCAAGACCCTGTGTCAAAAAAAGAATAAGAAAACATTTAAAAGCAATGTTGTATTTTTCCAAATAAGACAGAGGTGGTCAGAGGTCACCCTTTACAGTGCCGAGTGGCGGAATTAGGGTCAGTGATTGAGCTGACTACAAGGAGGTGCATCTCAAGTCATCTTTTAGAAAGCTGCACTGAGAGCATAGCTCAGAGGTATAGCACTTGCCTGGCCCATACAAGACCCTGGAATTCCCGGCACTGGGGAGGGAGATTTTAAATTCCTATTTTTTTTTTGTCTTTTTGAGACAGGGTCTCGCTATGCAGTTCAGGCTGGTCTTGAGCTCACTTTGTAGCCCAGGTTGGCCTGGAACTCGAAACGATCCTCCTGCCTCAGCCTCCCAAGTGCTGGGATTACAGGCGTGCGCCACCACACCTGGCTAAATTTCTAAAAGTAAAGTAGTGCCAGCCTACTTCAAGGCCAGCCTGAACTGCATAGTGAGACCCTGTCTCAAAAAGACAAAAAAAAAGAAAAAAACAGAAACTGGGAATTTTACATACTCATTTAGTCCTTTAATACTGTACTAATTAGTAGGTACTGTTTTGTGCAAGGGATCGTCCTGAGTTTGAGGGACAGCAGTGAGGGAAAGGGACACGATCCTGGTACTCGGTGAATTACATTCTAATGGGAGAAGGTAGTGCCTTCAAAAGAGAAGTGCAGCAGGGAAGGAGGAGGAGAGCGCTGCAGTAGGGGGGTGTGCAGTGAGCCTGTGGTATGGGCCGGAGTCAGGACTGGTGGGGTGAGGAGGGAGCTGAGGCTGCGGGGGCGTGGAGAGGGCTTAGGCAGCAGCACGGGGCATGGGAGGCCGACCCTCATGCCCTCACTGCCGAGGTGACCGGCGCTGAGTGATGGGCTGCTGTTCGCATCCCAAGAGGGGGAAACTCATGGGGAGCTCAGACACTCGCCAGGGGGCAGTGCAGACCCGGAGTGTGAAGCCAGAGCCTTCCAGGCCAAAGTGGGGGCGTCTGCATGCTGGATTTTACTCTGAGTAAGGGGAGAAGCCGTTGGAAGGTTTTGAGTAGAAACATGACACGCTGTGACTTGAATGTTTTTATTATTTTTTTTTTTTTTCTGGTACCAGGAATCGAACTCACTACCTCGCACTTACCAGGCAGGCGCTGTGCCGCTAAGCTAAATTCCCTGCCCCGAATGTTTTTATTATTATCATTATTATTGTTGTTGTTTTGAGACAGGGGCTCACCGTGTAGTTCAGGCTGGCCTTGAACTCACTACATAACCTAAGCTAGCCTCAAACTCATGGTGATCCTCCTGCCTCAGCCTCCTGGGTGCCGGGATTGCAGGTGTGCACCACCGCTCCCAGTGTGACTCGAATGTTGGAAAGAACTGGATTCTGTGAGGAAAATAGGAGCTGGTTGTACAGGAGGCTGTTGTGTTACTCTTAGGTGAGAGGAAGTGGTGGCTGAGGCCAGGGTGACAGCAACGGGGTGCGGCGTGGCCAGAGCCCGGGTGTGGGTGGGAAGGAGCCGCTCAAGCACGTTGCTGAGTTGGCTGTAGAGTAGGAGACCGAGAGAGAGGGTGGGCAGCGCAGGTCTTAGCTGGTGCTGTCACACGCATCTGTAGTCTCCGCACACTGGAGGCTGAGGCAGGGGCATCACAAGTTTAAGCCTAGCCTGGGCAGCTTAGTGAAACCCTGTCTCAAAATAAAGAGCTGGGGATGTAGCTCGGGGTGAAGGCCCCGTGTCCCATCCCTAAAAAGAGTGATGCAGGCCTTGGGCCTGAGCTACAGGGACAGTGTCGCTGCCCTTTGGTGTTGGGAACCGTGGTAGGAGCAAGTTTGGAGGGGCTTCGGACCTTAAGCGGGTGAGTCGGGGGTGCTTCCTACCTGGCCGGGAACAGCGGTGATGTCGGTGCTCACGTGTACGGGACGGAGTGTGGAAGGGAGCAGAACTTCTCCGGCGCGCTCGTCCTGTACACCGTGTTCATGCCCGGGCTCTGGTGGTCACCCAGGGTGAGAGTAGAAAAGACGAAAGGCGACCCAAGGACCCGGCAGTATATGAGGAGTTCAGCCAAGAAGCTGAGGCGTGGCCCGCAGGGTCAGAAGAGAACCAAGAGAGTGGTGTGCTGGAAGCCACCGGAGGAACATGCTTCCGGGAGGAGGCGGCGCTGTCCGTTGTTGCTGACAGGCTGAGTGAGAGGAAGCCGGCAACTGCTCGTTAAATGTGGCTGTGTGGCGGCCCCTGCCGAGCTCTAGGCAAGAGGATTAGCAGTAGCATCGCTAGAGATGCCGTGGAGAGAATGGTAGTGTCATGGTTTCTGTTTTGCTTTGTTTTGTTTTCTGTCTTTTTGAGACAGGGTCTCGATATGCAGTTCAGGCTGACCTTGAGCTCACTTTGTAGCCCAGGCTGGTCTCGAACTTGCAGCTATGCTCCTGCCTCAGCCTCCCGAGTGTTGGGATTACAAGCATGCGGCACCACACCCAGCTTAGTGTCGTTTTTTAAAAAATGGGGCAAACGTTCTAGAAAGAGACTAGAAAGAATTACATGCAGTAGCACACGGCTGTAATCCCAGCAGGAGCAGCTGGGAGGAGGATTGAAAGTTTGAGGCCAACCTGGGTAATTTAGTATGGCCTTCTCTCAAAATAAAAGGGCTGAGAGCCAGGCATGGTGATGCATGCCTGTCATCCCAGCACTCTGGGAGGCTGAGGCAGGAGAATTGCAAGTTCAAACACAGCCTGAAGTTGGGGAGATAGCTCAGTGGCACAGCACCTGCCTGGCAAGTGCAAGGTCCTGGGTTTGATTCCCAGTAG